TTTGTCAATTTTGTTGATCTTTTCCAAGAACTAGCTTTTGTTTTTTATTTTTTTTCCTATAGTTTTTCTATATTTCTTTTAACTCTGCTATAATCTTTATTTTTTCTTTCTTCTAGTTTAGGGTTTAGTTAGTTTTTAAAATTCTTGTTCCTTAAGTTGTAAAGTTAGGTTATTCATTTGAGATCTTTCTTGTTTTTCAAATGTAAACATTTATATAGCTCATCAATTGCTCCCTTAATACCACTCTTGCAATATCCCATAAGTTTTGGTATACTGGTTTTTTTCATTTTCATTTATCTCTAAGTTTTTCTTTATGATTTCCACTGGTTTTTTAAAAATATGTTGTTAATTTCCACAAATTTGTGGATATCCCGGTTTCCTTCTGTTGGTGATTTCTAACTTCATCCCATTATAATTGGAGAAGATACTTTGTATAATGTATATCTTTTAAAATCTATTGAGACTTAATTTCTGAATTAACATATTGTCTGTCCTGGAGAATGTCCCATGTGCACTTGAGAAGACTGGGTATTTGTTGTTTCTATATAGAGTGTTTTGTATAGTGTGTTAGGTCAACTTGATTTATTGTGTTAAGTCCTCTTATTTCCTTACATATCTTCTGTCTGGTTGTCCTATCCATTATTGAGATTCAGTACTGAAGTTTCCAACTATTATTGCAAAACTTGTATTTCTCCCTTCAATTCTATCAGTTTTTGCTTCACATATTTTTCTGGTCTGTTATTAGGTGTGTCAGTGTTACAGCTGTTATATCTTCTTCCTGTGTTGAACCTTTTGTTAATATATAGTATCCCTTTTTTTTTTTTAAGATTTTGGGGAATTGGGGGAGGGGAACAACGTTGGGGAATCGGGGAAGGGAACAGACAAGTTGCTGTCCTTTTGTTCTTCGGTCTAGTTGTGGCCCTTGTTGATATTATCATTGCACTCTTCCCGAATGAGGCAAATCGGTCGCCGGTCATTGGACAGCCACTCACGGATGCCCGGCCGCTCACGCTGGCTGCCTGCCACTCAGCGTAGCTTATGACAGCCCACTGCAGCAGGGGCTGCATCCTATGCCGTCTCCTCACTGCAGCCCAACTCCAGGTCAAGCTGTTGTTCACCATCTTAGCTGTAGAGGGCAGTGTCACTGGCCCTCATGTGGGATCTGAACCTGGGCCCTGCTGCTCAGAGTTGGTTTCCCAAGCCAGCTCTTAACCAACACGCCACTCGGCCGGCCCTAGTATCCTTTTTTTGTCTCTTATTGTAACAGCTTAAAATTTAAAGTCTATTTTATTTGATATTAGTACAACCACCTCTGCTCTCCTTTGGTTATTTACATGGAATAGCTTTTCTTTTTTTCATTATCAATTTGTGTCTTTGGTTCTAAAGTGAGTCTCGTGTAGACAGCTTATAACTGGATCTTGAGGTTCTATATATTGTGCCAATATCTCTTTTGATTGGAAAGTTTTATTTGCATTTAAAGTAATTAGAGACAAGGAAGGACTATCATTTTGCTGTTTGTTTTACATATGCCATATAACTTTTCTGCCCCTCATTTCCTGCCTTCCTGTCTTTTGTGGGGGGTTTTTTTGTAGTGAAATGTTTAAAATTCTTTCTCATTTCCTTTTGTATATATTCTATATCTATTTTCTTTGAAATTACAATGGAGATTCCATTTAACATCCTAAAGTTATAACACTAGTTTGAATTTATAGCAACTTAACTTCAATGACATACAAAAACTTTGCTCCTTTACAGCTCTGTCCCCACCTATTTTGGTTGTTAAGTCACAGAATTACATATTTATACAGTGTGTGCCCAAAACAATGTAATGATTCTTTTAAATGCGTTAGTCTAGTAAATTATATAGAAAATAAGATTTGTAGTTTCAAATCAAAGTTACAATACTAATACAGTAAAACCTTGGATTGCAAGTGACTTGGTTTGCGAGTGTTCCACAAGACGAGCAAACATTTCTGTTAGGTTGGTGCAAAAGTAATAATTTTTATTACTAATGATACATTTTAACTTGGTAAACGAGCGATGTCTTACAATATGAGTAGTTTGTTTCCGGAACAAATTATGCTCACAAACCGAGGTATTACTGTAATTGTTTTTTTTCTTTAACTGTATATGATTTAAGTCTCTTAAATCATGTAAAAAACAAAAAGTATAGTTCCAAACCATCATTATAGTAATACTAGTTTTTATATTTGCCCATATATTTATCTTTATTGAGATCTTTATTTCCCCAATCAGCTTTGAATTACTGTCTAGGGTCATTTCATTTCACCTTGCATGACTTCCTTAGCATTTTTTGCAGGGCGGGTCTAGTGATCACAAACTCCCTCAGCTTTTGTTTATCTAGGAATGTCTTGATTTCTCCTTCACTTTTGAAGGGCAGTTCTGCCAAGTGTAGGTTTCTTGATTGACAGTTTTTTTCTTTGAGCACTTTGAAAATATTGGCCCCTGTCTTCTGGCCTCCAAAGTTTCTGACAAGAAACCTGTAAATTATCTAATTGATCCCATGTGTGTGATAAGTTTTCTTGCTACATTCCAGATTCTCTCTTTGTGTCTTTTGAAAGTTAGATTACAGTGTATCTTTAACTTCCTCTTACTTGGACTTTGTTGAACTTCTTAGATGGTTTTATTCATGTCTTTCTTCAAGTTTGGAGAGTTTCAGCTATTATTTCTTCAAATGTTCTCTCTGTCCCTTTCTTCTTCTGGACTCCCCCGATGTGTATATTTCTTCACTTGTTGGTGTCCTACAGGCCGGCTTGCTAGGCTCTGGTCACTTTTCTTTAATCTTTTTCTTTGTGTTCCACAGACTTGGTAATTTCCATTGTTCTATCTTCAAGCTTGCAGATTCTTCTGATTGCTCGAATCTGCCTTTAAATCCTCCTAGTGAACTTTTCAATTTCAGTTATTTTACTTTTAGCTCCAGAATTTCTTTTTTGTTACTTTTTTGGTTTTCATTGAAGTTTCCATTCTGTTCATACATCAGTTTCTGACTTTTCCCACATCTTTGTTTAGTTTTAAAGTCTTCGTCTAGCAGATCTTACATCATATCTTTATCAGGGATAATTTCTGTTCGTTTATTTTTTCCTTTTAATGGGCCATAATTTTCAGTTTCTTTGTATGCCCTGTGATTTTTTTGTTGTTGCAAACTGGACATTTTAATCTAATAATGTGGTAACTCTGGAAATCAATGCCTCTCCCTTTCCCAGGATCTGCTGGGTTTTGTTACTGTTTTGTTGTTGCTGACTCTGTGCCAAAGATCATTCTGACACGTAAAACTTAAAGCCTTAAGGCCTTTTCCAACCTTTGTTTTTCCCTGGGCATGTGCAGTCACTTTCTAATTTTCCCTGTATATGCAGTTGCTTTTGAATGTTCTAGTCTTTAATGTCTGACTCCCAAAAGAGGAAAAAGAGGAAAATGGGGAGATGGGGAGAAACAACCTAGCCCTTTTAAGTCCCCCTGGAAATCACTTCAGCCAAAGATGAAGGGGCTTGCAACAATAGGAATAAGTATAACAACAATGGTTGCCTTTTCTTTGTCTGCACCTCTGTGAGAAGCAGCAGTCAGCAGTTAGAGCACGGATCCCCAATATCTGGAGGACAGAGGTCCTTTTTGCCCACCCTAGCTCCCACAAGCTGTGTGCAGGCTACTGCAGGAACACAGTGCACACACGGCTGCTTGCTTCGGGTGGAGGTGGGGGATGGATAGCTGCTGTTGTTGTAAGAGCTGAAATGGACCAAAATTAACTGCAGTTTATTGCCCAAGCCTAATCTTTATCAGGTTGAAAACTTTCCTTCTCTTCCTAGTTGCTAAGTGTTTTACCATGAAAAGGTGTTGGATTTTGTCAAATGCTTTTTCTGTGTCAATTGAGATGATCATGTAGTTTATGTCCTCTATTCTTGTCATGTGGTGAATTACAGTGTTTGATTCATATGTTGAACCAACTTTGCATTCCTGAGATAAATCTCCCTTAGTCATGGTGTATAATTGTATAATCTTCTATATGCATATGTATTTGGTTTGCCATTTTTTTGTTGAGGATTGTTGCACATATTTTCATAAGGAATATTGATTGGTCTGTAGTTTTCTTGTGATGTCTTTGTCTGGTTTTGGTATCAGGTAATACTGATCTCATGGAGTGAATTAGGAAGTGTTCCCTCCTCTTCTATTTTTTGGAAGAGTTTGTACAACATTGGTTCATAAGATACTTTTATTTAAGGAAAAATATCTGCCCACTTCAGGTGCCCATTCAGAATTTTGAGCATTGCTTTGGTGGGTATTGACTAAATTCCAGACCCTCATATTACTGATGGCTTTTCCCAGCCCCATCTCAGTGGGGCTGGGAGGTTGCCAGGGCTCTTTCTCAAGTACGAATCCCAGTAGTTTTCAGTGTAAGCTGGCTCTGTTTGCAGCCTTCTACAGTGTTGTTAGAGCAGCGGTTCTCAACCTGTGGGTCGCGACCTCTTTGGGGGTCGAATGACCCTTTCACGGGTCGTCTAAGACCATCGGAAAACAAAAAGATATTTACATTACGATTCATAACAGTAGCAAAATTGCAGTTATAGAGTAGCAACGAAAATAATTTTATGGTTGGGGGTCACCACAACATGAGGAACTGTATTAAGCGGTCGCGGCATTAGGAAGGTTGAGAATCGCTGTGTTAGATAGAGCATTCCTTCTGGAAACTGTCATTTTAAAGGAGTGTTGCACAGCTTGGAGACAGTGAAAAAATTCATAAAGTTCTTTTGGTAGCTTTTTATTTTATTGAAGTTGTGCAGAGCAGACCTAAAAATTCCTTTGTTTTTTTTCCCTTGCATTTTCAACATTAGAAACGCTATTTTATGATTGTATTTTCTTTGTGCCATCCTGTATCAATATCTCTTTGATTCCTTTATCATCCTGGGTCCATACTTTAGAACTACACTAGTTTAGCACTGGCCATCTTTATGAGCCCCCTTGTGATGCAGCCCACTTTTCGCCCACAGGTACCACGTACACAGACCTCTCGGCCGGAATCTCCAGGGATGACCAGCCCCTCCCCACGCATCCAGATAATCTCCACCGACTCTGCGGTAGCCTCACCTCAGCGTATTCAGGTACCTGCACCAGTCCCACTTGGTTCCAGCCACCTGCCTAAGGGTTTCACTAAAGAGTTGTACTTCTTGGGCATCAAGTACAGCACAACTTCATTTATTCTTTAAAAAATAGAAGAAGAAAAAGTTTACATTTACTGAACTAACTTTTAATATAAAAGTCTAAACTGTTGTTTCCAACTATGGGATGAAGTACCATTTTGTTACTTATATGCTTCCAAATTGAGAGGCAATATGTCCTAGCAGTTAAGAGTATGGGCTCTCACTTGAAGTCAAATCCAGTGCCCCACTTTATAGCTTTTTTGACCCTCGAAAATTAACTTTTCAATGCCTCACTTGTTTCATTTAGAAAATGTATGTAATAGTAATACTTACCTCATAAGGTTATTGTGAAGAATCAATGGGATATTGGTGGCAAAGTGCTCATATAGTGCCTGGCACATGTTACTGTTCAATGTGTACCAATTATTTATATACAGAGGGTGCCAAAAAAATGTATACACATTTTTAAGAAAGGAAAACTGTATTAAAATTGTAATACTCAGTATACAAGGTCTGACAAGTTCGCGAACTCATTTTAGAAAAAGTGCTGCACGCCTTCGAAGTACTCCCCTTGGGAAGCTAGGCACCAACGCCAGCACCTAATCCACCCTTCAGAGCAGTTTTAGAACTCTTTTTCTGGAATGGCCATCAAAGCTGTCATTGTATTACCCTTGATGTCCTGAATGTCATAAAATGTCTTCCTTTCAATATTTCCTTTATCTTCGGGTAAAGAAAGAAGTCATTGGGGGCCAAATCAGGTGAGTAGGGAGAGTGTTCTAATAGTTACTTGTTTACTGGCTAAAATCTCCCTTTGATTTTGTTCATTGGTGAGTATCTTCAGGATCGTTTTTGCACACACCTTTCTCATGCAAAGATTTTCAGTTAAGATTTTCCTACGAAACAGCTTACTTGGTCTGCTATGCTTCTCACAGCTGACGATTTTGATGCAGAATACACTGAATTTTTGCAATGTTTTCATCGTTCTGCTTGTTACCAGCCGCCCTGACCTCTCTTCATCAGTGATGTGTTCTCTCCCCTCAGAAAAACGTTTAATCCATTTGTATGCTGACTTTTTCTTCATGGCATTATCCCCATAAACTTGGACTAACATGTCTGCTTTCACTTCCACTCTTGCCAAGTTTAACAAGAAATTTCATGTTTGTTTGTTGCTCTAATTCAAACTCAGACATTCTCTCGATGGCACACGAAAACATGCAACAACAATAATGAATGCTACTCAGCAAGACATCGCTACATGTCAACATGAACACAGTTGTGAAATTCTGATATACCAACGTTATGAAGCTGTTTGTGCATTGCTGCCAATGTAAGCACACAGTGGCAAGTTCGCAAACTTAATTGTAATACCTCGTATACTGATAACAAAAGATGAATACAAGTCACATTTGACTTCTGCAATTACAAGAGGTGCTCCAAGTGGTTACCATCAGCATCCAAACACTTCTAATTACGGCAAACCACTGCTTGAGCAACGTAGACCAAAGTGTCCTCTTGTATACATATTTTTGGCACCCCGGTATAACTATTATTACTGGTATTGTTATTATTAACTAATCGATATTCACATATGGGAGGTTTAGTCTTCTCCAGGGCTCTGAACCTGCCTCTGGCCCATTGAATAAAGAAAAGGTATGGGTATCGAAATCAGGATCAACAAACTCGGATTTAAGGATTTGTAGTTATTTCAACAAGCTAAATCAAAAGGCCAAACCAAAAAAAAAAAAAGCATGAACAGAGATGAATGGCAAAAGAAAACATTAGTTACATGACATGAGTTTGAGAGAATACCAGGGTGAACAGGTATTTGAGTGAATAAGTAACAGTGTTGTTTTCACTTACAGTTTATTTCAAGCTTAGTACAAGTGAACAGTATGCTAGAGTAGATAATTTCTTATAGTGTTTGCCCACTCTTAAAAGTGATTTTATACAGTGTCATAAACTAAGCATAGAAGAGTTCTAATAAGTAAAATTAAATAAGTTAAAAATTATATTCTCATTATGTTTGTATTATACAGTATTTTATCATAAATACAGGAGTTCATATACTTGTCATTATTTTAACTTTACACCAAGTAGGAAACACATATTCTGAGTGTTTGGAAATTCAGAAGTAATGGCGTGACATTGTTTTACTATTCAGCAGAATTAGAAATTTTATATAGCTAAATTATTTTTTCCTTTTTACTTTGTTCCTATTTGCTAATTATGACTTCAAAATGAGTCCTTTATAGTTTTATGTAGTAGATGTTAGGACCTTGCCTGTATGATTCTCCTGACTGGGAAAGGAGCTAACTGCATTTAACCATGACATCAGGGTCTCACATCCATGTGAGGGCAGATGAGAACATAGACAGTTCTCCCAGGAGACTGTCAGTAGCTAGCATATATTTCAACAGAGTGCACATTTCCCCTGCATTGATATAAAAAGAATCTTTGTTTTCCTAAGGGCCATTCTAGCCTCCCATTCCATACAGTGAGACTATTCCCATTGCCTGGTGCTCGGCCCATGGTGACATTGCTGTCCTGGCTGGAATGCAGTAAGTTCCCTTGAACAGAAAAGTCTTTTAGAATATATCCTTGGCATTGAACTTTCAGTCTCTGTAGGGAAGATAACCCATTAGCATGCGATTTATGTACAGTAAATATAGTTGAAAACCTTTTCATTATGAACCGTCGATAAAACTGGGCATACGTAAGAGCATCTGAACTGACGGTATTTCAGGGTTTTTTTGTTTTGCTTTGTGTTTTGTTTTTAAGGAAAATTAAGATTGTAGGATAATTTCTAGGTTCTTGATGTTAGTGCTGATAGCTTTGATGAAGTTTTCATTTTTAGGCCTGACTCTAGATAGTGACTCTCTTATGCTCTGAGTCTGAGAGGCCTGCCTGGGAAGAGAATAAATGCTATGATGTTTTCATGAATAACAATGCTTGGAACCCAAATAGTGGCTCCTGTGATAAGGTTGGGAGGTTAAGATTATATAGTCAGGATGACAGGCCAGGCAACATTTAAACTTTGGCTCTGAATGGAACAGACTTAGGGATCAGATCTTGTCTCCACTCAGCTATGTAACCCTGGGGAAAGTTTTCATAACCTGTATGTATAGCTGTAAAAGAGCAACAAAAATTGTACCTATTTTATAGGGTTTTAAAAAGATTAAATGAGATAATTCCTGTAATCCTTTAGGAAGCAAACATCAATAAATGTTAGGAACTAAGTTGTAATTTTTTAATGTTTTATTTTTATATAATTTCAAACTTATGGAAAAAAGTTCATGGAAATCCTGTATATGCTTTACCCAGATTCACCAATTGTTTGCTGTAACATTCTGAGTCTGTATGTATATATTTTTAAATCACTTAAAAATAAATTAGAGACATCACATCTCTTTGCCCTGGATACTTCAGTATGTATTTCCTAAGGAACAAGGACATTCTCTTACATAATCACAATACAGTTATCAAAATCAGGAAATTTTTTGTTCATGATTATATCTCTGTACCCCCCATAATGTTTAGGACACAGTAGAGCTCAATAAATGCTTACTGAATTAATAAAGTAATAAATTATCTCAATACTAAAAAAAAAAAAAAATCAGGAAATTTAATATTGAAGCATGCCATAATCTAAGCAACAGTCCATATTCTAAAATGTCATCAGTTGTCTCAATTAAGTCCTTTATAGCTATATTCTCCCATCCTGGGGTTTATATTACTATTTTTAATAATAATTAAGGTGTGGCAATCAACAAAACCAACATATCTAGTTACGGAGGTCAACAGAGTGTAAGCTGAAGCATACATAGACTTATGTTCGTTAGTTATCCTAATAGCTGCAAAAGGGCTTTGGGGCCAAGTGGGAAGGGTGGCAGTCCTCAGAGTGTGGGAGGTAGCCTTTTGGCTGGGGTTGAAAGCTGTTGTTTTTTGGGATACAGCAGTCTAGGGTGGGAGCTGTGGGAAGGAGATGGGGGATTAAGAAAAGCCATAGGAGACCCCAACTTTTCTGAGAAGGAGACTTAATCTAAGCCATCCCATCACAAAGTAGTTTCTCAGGAAATCGCACAGGTTTTTTTCATATGCACATCTTTCCAGGCCAGTGTTTTTCAAATTGTGTTCTTTATTGCTTCCCAGGTTACATAAAATTAGGTTCAAATTTTATTTTTTTAATCCAGCTTTCAAAACGATTAAGCTAGATTAAAAGAAAAACACACTTGAACATGTCCTATCCCAAACCTGACACACTGGAGATCACCAGTACACTCACTTGTACTGCCTTGTTTGTACTCTTTGGGGCAGACCTGGATATAAGGCTTCCCTTGCCACCTCTGGGTATTTTAAGATTTTCCTGAGATATTCCTCCATATTCCCCACTTCAAATTTATGTTTTTCAGATAGCATAGTTGTACTCATTGTTTGATCTAAGGAAATGCTTAAATTTCAGCTTATAAAATACATTGTATTATAAAATACTTCATTTTCCTTCTTTATGTATTGAGGTTTCACATTTTACTAGAAGGACCTCTGCTGTTTATATGTTTTTTGAAAGTTTGAAATCTTATATTACAGTCCCCTGGGGAAGGCATTTTGGGCTCCTATAGCAGCCCCTCCCCCCCCCCACCTACTTCTCCCTTCTACCAGCTCTTTATTCCTACACATCCCTTCTTTGAGCTGCCAGTACCTCTTCTCTGTCCTTTCCACGTCTACAACCATCTGATGTCTCCTTTCTCAGTCTGATGCTCTAGTGACCGCTCTCAGGTACTCATAATAGCTGTTTGAATGTGTCGAATGGGTAATAGGTGTACACCATAACAAAATCACACCAAACAGGATACAGAGTAAAAGATGGCTCGCCCTTCCTCCTCTTCCCCAAGTGTCTCCCAAGAGGTAGCCACCATTACTATATGATTTATTCTTTCAGATACATGATCTGCATTTATACCTAC